ACAAAAAACACATCTCTCCAGCCCCAGCAAAGAAGCCTTTTTTTTTTTTTTTTTTTTTTAATTTATTATGTATACAGTCTTGTGTCTGCATGCCAGCAGAGGGCACTAGATCTCATTCAAGGTGGTTGTGAGTCACTGGTTGCTGGGAGTTGAACTCAGGACCTCTGGAAGAACAGTCAGTGCTCTTAACCACTGAGCCATCTCTCCAGCCCAGTAAGGCCAGTTTTGTTTTTTTGTTTTGTTTTGTTTTTGTTTTCGAAACAGAGTTTCTCTAGTTTTTGAAGGCTGTTCTGGAACTCTATAGACCAGGCTGGCCTCGAATTCACTGAGATCCACCTGCCTCTGCCTCCCGAGGGCTGGGATTAAAGGTGTATGCCACCACCACTCCAAAAGGCCAGTTCTTAAAAGTCTTTAAAGGTGGAAAGGCTAAGAACCATGGACCCAGGAAGAAACAGGCCTAAAGAGGGAGGGGACTCTTCCCCAGCCTGAGGTCAAGTTAAATGAGTGCTGCACTGGGCAGGATGCTTTCACCTCCCAAAAAACTGGGATTACATGCCAGGGTTACTGCAATACTAGAGATGGAACTTGGAGCTTCATACATGCCAAGGCCAGCATTGTGCCATTCAGGCTACATCTCCAGCCATCCAATGCTCTTGACAGTCTATTGCTCATCTACCCTGTGAGTTAGACATTTGAAACTTGATAGAATACTGGATCTGGTGGGTACAGCCCTATAATCCAAACTGCTACGTAAATTGAGACAGATTACAAATTCAAGGCCAGCTAGTATGGGCTGAATAGAGAGCCAGCTCCAGCAAATTATTGAGACTCCCTCAGAAACAAAAGCAGTGGAGATACAGCCCAGTGGTAAAGTATCTGACTACCATAGAAGAGGCCATAGGTTAAGTCCCAAGCACCAAAAAAGCAAAAACAAACACCAAACCTTGCCATACTCAGGCCTTGGAACTTGGACACAGAGACGTTAAAAACCAGACACTAAGAAGAGCTGGGGTTCTGAAGCTTGAAGAAGCTCCTGGGGATGAGGTCTTCTCCCCTCCTGTGATAGTCCAATCTGCCTATACCTTGTCAAGAAGCCATTTTGAGCTGTTATGACAGGTGTCACTGTGTTATGGCAGCACCATCTGTCAGTGAGCTGGAGTTGGAGAGCCAGCAGGAGACTGTCACCACGCATGTATGTCCCCGAGATCCATGAGTTGGTGTCCTGATGACAGTTTTTTTTGTTGTTGTTTGTTTTGTTTTTTAAATCTCCTCTGGATGTCATATTTAGTTTCTATTTCTTACCGACTTCCCCTCTGCTTTGTTAAAAATCCTATATTTTGAGTCAGCTGAGAGTCTACAGGGAGTGGGGCGATGGTGTCAGCACCCAGTGATTCATCTTACTGATAATTAGAGATCTGGAAAACCCAAAACTCATTCCTGTCAGAGTCAGGGCTTCCGGAACCCTTCCTTAGTCTTCCCCCTTTGTCAGAGAGAGGAGCAAAGTGGGCCTCGCTCCGGGACGCCTGCCTTTGGGTCATGCGCCTCACAGAGGCTCCCGGACTGAGATCAGTGGGCATTTATAGGGTGTGGTGAGCCGGATCTGAATCTCATTGGGCCTTCACAGAAATGGTGTGGTGTGTTATCTCCATTTGCACAGCCAGGATTTGCATTTAGTTGCCTAGCATGTAAGCGATACAACAAGGATTCAAACGCTACCCTTTTGGAGTCCACCAAACTTTCTTCAAACCACAGCCCAACCATTATTGGCTGAGTGTCATTGTAAAGGTTACGCCCCTCTCTGGGCACTAGCTCCGGGAACTGTAAGCAGGTCTCTAAAGTGCTTCACTTTGCATAAGAAACGACCTTGGGAGCTGCTGTGATTGCTATTGTCATTCAGCCTTATCTACAGCTCAGTAGTCACCAAGCATTCAAAGGGACTAAGAAAGGAATATTGCCTGGGACAGCTAGACTTCATTAAGACCAGCCTTCATGTCCCGGCAATACCTTGTTGAGGAGATGACAAATGCACGCTTACCCCCTAGCAGAGCATAGGCGGGGCCACGGTTGTCTACTCGTGGATACAGAATGACCCGGAGAGGGGGGTGGGGGAGGAAAAAATAGAGTCATCCAGCACCCCTGTTAACTTCGAGACAAAGGAGTGGGACTATGGCCGCTGGTATTGCTGCCACCGAGCCCTTCTGGCTGCTTCTATATGGCAGTGGAGGGAAGCTAGGCTTTCCGAGGGCCCCCAGTGAGTCACCAGACTGATGCAATCCCTTTAAAGGGCTCATCTGCTGGTGCAAGAAGCTGATTCATGGAGGGCGTGGTTGCTGGAGGAGGAGAAAGGGACGGAAACTGTGGCAGGAGGGAGTGAGGTAGATAGCCGGCTGAGATCAATCATTGGAACTCTTCACTGTAATCTCCCTGAACAAGACTCTAGGGATGTCCAGGGTGGACTTGGCTATCCTCGTGGTTTCTAAAGAGCCTAAAGTGAAATGAATTGCTGACGTAGCGACAGCAGTCCTGTCTTCTCTTGAACCCAACCTAAGCGCTTTACCGCACAGATCTCCAGAGGCCGAGAAATGGGGACCAAGGAAATGCCTCTTTTCTAATGAATGCAGTACAGTTGGCGATTCTTGCGGCTACTAGAGACGTCCCCAACCGCAGCAAAGTGAGAGTAGGGTCGGCAAGGTTCTGCAGAGCCAAGGCTGGGAGGCGCCTCCGTTCAGTCCCCGTGGGTGTAGATTTGCGGTAAGTACCGCCTCCTGGTTGTCCAATCGTTTTACAGATTTCGACCCAGATTCCACCTAGAACCAATCGGCGATCTTATCTGGGCCTCCTGCCTGAAGGCTTCCGCCCATCCTCAAGATCC